AAACATGTCTTATTCTGCATGACGTTGTAAGTGGAGTAAGGCAGGTGAAGTTAAAACGAAGGAGATATGTGGATACTGATAGAACAAAAACAAAAATTTACGAAATACTTATTAGTTGCTGCTAGCTTCTAAGGTTGGTATCTCCTGTAGAATTACAGAAGTGACTGTTGCACTTGTTCACCTTATCCTGGAAGTTATGGAAATGGCCTTAGCGGTTAGCACGAAACAAAGTTACGACAACCTTCTCTGATATGCATACGGATAAAAAAGTGCTGGTGACAACAGCTTAGCGGAAATAGTTTAGGAATTTCTAATGACCTATGATAACCTTGTATGAAGCCGGTTTTTTGCCATGACTTTGCTCACCGTCCCCAGAGAGGTGTAAGTTGGTGCTAATTCTGGATGCATCCGAGGCAGAACAATCACCTGCGGAGATGACTGCGCTTTCCTAAAACTGGTTAAACATTATTGCAGTCCACAGCAGATAAGTGGTTGGGATGAACTTCTGAAGTCATCTCGAAATCTCTCATATTTCAGAGAAGACTCTGAAATCTTTATCTTTCTCTCTGTTTAAGGGAAAATGAAAGTGATAATCATCACGAGATATAAGTGTTAATTCTCGTCTTTTGTCGCTACTTTTATATCAGACAGTAATTGATTGTTGTGTCGATGACACAAACCATCTCGTCATGGCAAGCTGCCGAATCACTCACGGAGAGATATTGGCAACTTTATATTGTAGTGCTGATGATGTCTAGAAAGGCCATGAAAACTTCACGAATAAACCACCCATAACACAACCAAGTACATGTGTATGTGCATCTGCATTTTCCTCGTTAGCCAGCTGCGCTGTAATATGAGGACCATCTCCCGAGACTTTACAAGCAATCATAAACGTGATGGTAAAGTTTTCTTACCATATGCGTAGGCTTTGGTCCAGTTGGTCGTTTCCCAGTCAACCTTTGCACGTGTGCACTCCCGTAAATCCAGCAAGAATATCTTTGAAGGACGAACCCAGATGTTTCACGTCAACACCTGCGTGCTTAGAACTTCCTACAAACATTTTTTCTCTTTCACATCTTGAATAAGGTATCGAATACTTGCAGATGGAAATATGAACCTTCGTTTTGAAATGCCGCTAGGAAATGTAAACCTGTATTGCAAAAAGTGGAAATGCACTCAGTAATCTTTTGTACATTCGTGCAGTGAGGAATGAAGCACATTATTTGAAAGTCAATGGTATAATATGACTGAGCAAATCTTAGTTGATGGGGCAGTGAATCGCAGGTTCAAAGTAAGCTACCTGAACCGCTGCTACAAATGAACTTGCATTGGTAGTAGGGAAACATTTGGGAAAATAAGCTCAGTAATAAACTGACACTCGCAGAATCCATACATAAGGAATCGGGATGTACATCGGCGATCAGAAGACGTTCTGTCTAGAGTGGACACGACGGAATTAAACGGTTATGCCATAAAACTTTTTTAAAAAGCCAATATAAAGTTGTTGTAAAGTGCCAGCCGGAAACAACATTTGGTAACTGCAATTTAATTGAGAGCTCGATAAAATGTAGGCGAGAGACAACTCTCATTGGTGCATTTAAATGTCTTATCACAGGAAAGCAACCTGGAGAGAAGCATCCCACCTCACCCGTAATGCACTAAATCTACCTGGAGGTATAGAGCAGATGGAGGCAGCAATCCTTTAAGAAGCGATTCTCGTAACCTAAGCTATTATCAGTGCTTGCTACGCTGTGATTAAAGAGGAACTGTGAGAAAGGACTTAAACATGGTTAATAAGCAGGCAAAAACTAACAATGTGACAGAAGAGGCAGCGAAGACTGAACTTCAAGTGAATGTAGAGAAGACAGGTGATACCCAACTAATGCCACCAACAACAACAAAAAGCTCCAATTACCATCAACGGGAGAAACTTAAAGGAAGTAGTCTCTTTCACCTACCTAGGCAAGGCAGCATCATTTCGACTACAGGCGGCGGCACAGACGAGGACGTCAAAGCCAGGATCGGAAAGACAGCAAGACAAGCCTTCGTTCACTAACCTGGAACCAGTGTGGAGATCTTCTGCACTCAGCATGTGGAACAAGATCCGGATTTTCAACACCAACCCAGTCAAGTCAGTGCTTCTGTATGACTCAGGGACAGCGTGTTACGAAAGGCATTCCCAACAAACTACAGGTGTTCAACAACAACTGCCTAAGCTCGTTACTGAAGCTCAGATGACCAGAAAGAACAAGCAGCAAGGAACTCTGGCCTGGCAACAAACCAACCAGAAACCCATCGCTGAGAAGACCATTCGGGGACATCACGCGCCAGGTCAGGGTGTCGAGTGGAACCCAGATGGGAAACGGCGAATTGGGCGTCCCAGGTGAGGGTGACATGGAGGAGATGGTATGAGGAAGAAATGAGAGCTTCTGCGTTGCCGTGGGGTCAGGTTCAAGAGATTGCAGAGAAGAGAGTGAAATGGAGACGTGCTACTGAAGCTCTATGTTCCACTAGGGACCCAAGGGACAAATAATAGTAATATAATAGTAGTAATAATGGTTAATAAGGTTTTGCAGGCTACATGTAATCGGTCTTGTTAAATCCAGAGAAATGTATATGCTAATGGTATCACTACTTCATGATTTTGGGTCGGTATCCTGGTACACTTGTAGATAATCTGAGTCAGAAATCCATGTAGCCTCATGTCTAACTATTGATACATGAAATGGGCCAATATCGCTTGACTGAAAAGGTTCAATAAAATAGTCAACTGGATCTTTTTAAGCTCGGAAACATATTTCTTTTACCTCTACTTCAATAATCGAACCTGGTTTACCTTGAACCAGAACGATGTTGCCAGTTACTTATGTATGTGACTGCTCTATGGACAATAACTTCTAGCTTGTAACAAACTACGATGGATTGAGAATCAAAGTCACAAGGAAGCTTGGGTTGCCCAAGCGCCTTCTCTACACTGATTTCAACAAAACGCTGTGCTGTCTGTTTAGCAACAACACAGCCGGAGTGTGCGCTTCTTTGAATTTTCCGCATGTCTGTTTCAAAGGGGAGGGTTGAAAAGCTTCCCAGATTTGATTTATGCTTCATAAATCCTCACAAACCTTCAGATTAAATTACTCCCAAGCGCTCGTCAGTGACTTGCATCGAGATGAGATATCGTGAAGTTACTATGAATAGAAGTGCCTAGTTTGTCAAGCCAAGTCGGACTTGGATGGGAGTCGCTCTGTATCGCAAGTTGACAGAAGTAGGGCAGTGTGGACCACTGAGCCTCGACTGAATAGTCCTGGGTTCGAACCCCAGTGGGTACATGGGTGCCCATTACTGAAGTCTCACGCTGAGACGTAACGGTTGTCTAATGCCACCAAGTTCTCAATGGCCATCTAAGTGATGTCATTTCTTGCTGAATACCAATTTAAAATCAACAGATCCTTAAAAAACTTCCCAACTAAATTATGCTCCATAAGCTTTTCACGACCACGGGCTAATTCTGGTTATAAGGTGATCAGCTTCTTCACTATTCCCAAGTATATGAAATGCATAGGTTAAAATCAGTTATCATTTTGATAGGTGGACTCTCAAAACAATATTTACTGCAGTGATATTTCTCTTGATTGCGACTACAGAAGATGGCATCAGCCCTAAGGGCATACTGTCCATTAGCGGGAGTCATCCTGCCGTCTAACTGAGACCCAAGGATGACGTACTTGTCGTCGGTTACTTCGTCGTTATGACTGACGGTCTGCTTCACATGCGAACGCGCCGATGAGTCACATATGACTTTAACAAACCGCACCGTTATTAATTTACTGAACCTTGCAAGGATTAAGCCACTGATATCAACATTTTGAAGCTCCTCTACATTATTTGTTTCTACTGGCCAGCTGTTGGATCACGTGGTTGATTGCTGTGACTTAACCCGCATCGTTATCATCACTGTATATTATTCTTCATGAGCATCTGGACATGTAGTATAGAGTGTCCTGAACACAATGTCTTATCATTATATAGCATTAGAAGCACATCTAGAGATGTATCTTTTGCTGCATCACTCTTCTACTTAAACGAGAATAGTACACAACTTACACTTATTCTACCGACGTTCACTAAGAAACTCCAATATCCAACACAAAACGTTATAAAACTTTAATATTCACAAGTGGGAAACAGCTAAAAAAACTGCCATTTTTGAAGACTATTCCTTTCTGGGTCCCATGGATGATCTTTTCTATTATTATGGGTAATTATGATAATCACGTGTATATGTTTGGTTTTGTAAACTAAAATGACTATAGTGTGTTACTTTCTCATCTACAGAAGAGATGAACATTCAGGTTATTCTGACTTCGAAAGTTTGACTAAAATGCCCTTTTACACTAAATTGATACGTAGCGACAAGAAGGCAGCCAATAGGGGAGTTATTTTCAAGTCATGATCGGGTTATGATTTATGCATGCACTGACCTGTGAACCTGATTGGAGAAATTCGACCTCATACAAGAAATATGATTGGTTCATTTATCGCTTCACTTTCTGAGAGTTTTGTAAATACATATATGTCACGTATTTGCCTAATAATAATTGTCGCTGTTCCTGCAGTCACAGCCAGTCTTTGTCTTCTGGTTTTTTCGCGGCTCACTGAAGCAGAAGGTACTGAGGGAGGTCAGTGGTGAGGGTATTCGGTTGAGGTGTCTACCGAGTCTGAGTATCATTATACCCATACGCGCAACCCCACCACTCGGTCACAACAAAATAATAATGAATTATCTCGAAAAACTGCAGCATTAGAAATAGATAAATGTAAGATAATTGTAACCATTTCAAGAATCTGATCAGGCGATATCACATATTTATCAAACAACACCTAAGGGTGTGGAATTTCATTGTGTTAAAGCAGTATTCAATACTGTCACATATGTATTGGAAAAAATACAGCAAAAGTAAATCAGTGTAAACTTTCTATTTATAAACAATAAGTCAAAGTTATGTCTCTTTAGAATGAAAGTTCAGTTTATCCAATGCTTCGTAAAGATCTAATGATAAGTCTTTTGGATCTTCCAAGCCTATTGATAAACGAACCATATTCTCGGTGATTTTGTTAGCTTCACGAATTTCCACTGGGACGGATGCATGTGTCATAATACACCTGATAAACAGATAAAGACATATAAAAGGAAGTGTCTGATCTTAAAAAAACAATGATTTGATAGTGATGTAAAATTGACTGAAGAAAGTAAAGTAAGAATAAGATAAATCAATTATCTCATTATAATGCATTGTGAGCGTGTAACTCGGCAGTGCATATACACAACTCAAATTGCAAATAAAAGATAAACAGTTAACAATCAGACTTTAATTTGTTGTACGGAGGTGAATGAGGGATTGTATCACTAATTGCACGAGTTGGATTGTGAATACAAGACGTAGTAGTTTATACACTAGAGGTAAATTACAAAATCACTTGATTTAGTTTGCAGCTATAACAAATTGGGGACTGGAGTTTTGGTTCTTTCCATCTGAACAGAACAATACCAGTAAAAAGATGGAACAAGAATTTAAACCATTAAAAATTCCCACTATAATTCTGTTGTGATGCCTCAGTTTTGTATAAAACATTGTTATTGATCTGAACATTTTAACGTGTCATTCCCATACCAACTGCAGACAAGGTCATTTCATGTGTATACTTACTCACGTGTTTTGGACTGATTGTTATTATTTTAAAACGCTGGACGATGAACTTTTAATAGTAATTAACTCTTCCATCTGCCAGCTTCGGTCTTCTTTCCATTCATCCCGGGGTTGCAGTCAGTGGCACTTCCGGACTAAGTTAGCTGTCAGCTAAGCTTGCGTATTATATCGTTCGGTATATATAACCATTAGCGTTCGAAAGTATAAGAAATTCAAAAACCATTTGAGTGAACAAAGAATATTCTTTCTAATAACGTTTTCTTCAGGTCCTACACTAATAATGCACATACTGAGGAATTATACGTTAACAATACTGACATTTCGCCTATCAGTTTGATAACAATATGTTATGTGCCAGTTAATGACAGAATCAGTTGTTACTTGGATTCAATTAAAAGAAAGCGTTTATGTAGTGCGGTTCTGCATTTATGAGATGAGAAATGCGTCATCACATCGCGATGTTAATGAAACGATATTTTGTTACTATCTTCCCCTAAAAGAACTATTCGGGGTCTACTAGGAAAAAATAGGGAACGTTATTAACTCATGAGAACCTCGTCTGGTTAACTAGTTCACTAGTTACTAGCCGGTCCTAAGCCCGGGTAAAGAGGGAAGGTTGGGCATACGGCAAGCAACCCTACCCGTAAAACAAATCTAACCGCTAAAGAAACTTCAAAGCACAAACAAAATATAAAAAATAATAACAAAATTATTCCTCGCTGCAATCGGAGAGGCGAAATGACGCCAGCTGCTAAAAGCCTTCGGGAAGCCAATCGGCCGATATGTCTTCTCTCCCTCGATGAAAGCGTAAGTAAACGTGGGGACATGGAATGTCCGCACCATGTTTGAACCCAGCAAGGCAGCCCGGATTGCAAACGAGATGAAGAGGCATCACATTGAAGTGCTTGGAATTTGCGAAAGCAGATGGAATGGGAGTGGACTCTACAAACTGTCAACTGGAGAATCAATAATCTACTCCGATACTGTCAACCAAACAACAATCATGAAAACACGGAGGGAGTGGCTATCATGATGTCCCCTACACCATCGAAGGCTCTCATGCAGTGGGAACCAATCTCCTCCACAATCACGATCATGACAGCAAGGTTCAACTCAAAAGGAAGGAAGGTCACAATCATACAATGCTACGCTATGCACCTACAAATAATGCAGAGTAAGAGAAAAAGGAGGAATTCTACAGACAACTGCAATCAACACTGGACAAGACTCCACTCCAGTTGGCGATATCAAAATTCTGATGCGTGGGGCGACATGAATGCCAAACTGGGAGGGGACAACACAGGAAGAAAACTAACCATGGGTCGAGAAGTGCTCGGTGAGGTGATGAACGAGAACGGAGAATTGTTTGCAGAATCCTGTGCATTCAATGATTTGGTGATTGGAGGCGAGACGCTGTGTTCAAGCACAAGGATATCCACAAAGCGAGCACATGATTTCACCAGACACCAGGACACACTAAAAATCAGATCGACTTTATCTCAATCTCAAGAAAGTGGAGATGGAGACGCAGTCTACTTGACACAAGGTCAAGAAGAGGAGGAGATGTAGGTTCACACCACTCACTATCTAGTGCAAGGAACCTACATTCCAAATCAAGTTGAAAGCCTCCAAGGAAGCTGGTGATAGACCACAGTTCAAGTTCAACCACCAGAACAGAAACTGAAGAACGAAACTGCAGAGGAAATCTTCACGGCAGCCATCAAGACAAAATGGGAGATATCGAGCAACATCTCTGAAGAAACCTGTGTGGAAGAACACTGGAACTCTTTGGAAGAGATGTGGAAAGAAACCTGCATAACCGTGTCAGGAAGGAAGAAGAAAGAAGATAAGGAATGGATATTTTAGAAAATTCCAGAAGATTTAATTCAAAGGAGTTTCATGGCCGAACGCCGTAAGAAGTCCAATAGCAAACGTCTTCAACCTGTAAAAATCAAACTGGATAATATTCAGTAACATGTGCTCATACGAAATCAATGGTACATTATTTTGTTTTAAACGAGTATAGAGTAGCTATCTTCCTAAAGATGTAGAAGTGTTCACTGGCCGGAAAAATTTGTCAGCCACTAAAGTCATAAAGAATTATGTGGAATAAATGCGAGATGTGGAATAATCAGAGATTCACTCTGGCAGAAAATAAGGTGAAAAAAATCTTACAATCTCAACAGCTTCTTCAACAAAAAAAGCCTTTACTGGTTATAATTACTATGAAATAAGTATCTTGAAAAATATATTGTTCTCCTTAACATCCGACACGTATGACCCGTAGTCTAACATCGCAGCAATAGTTCTTTCTGTTCGTAATTTTGCAGCAATAAATCTTTTTGTCAATTAACTGGCTGATTGGACATCAGTGTGATGATTATCGTCAGCTTACAATATACTCGTTAGAATGCGCACACTTCATGTGATCAAGCCAGAACAAATGGATTAACATGATTTTGGAAAACCTTCATACTTAATGATGAAGAGTGGCTAGCGGTGTAATCCAGGATGCATATTGCCTCCTGTTATGTACTCGTCATCTGAAGTTACTTGCCTCCCAGTGAACGATATTGTCTTCAATAGGACTCGAACCCGGGACTGACTGCTTCAAACGCCAGAGATTTATCCACTAGGCCACCAAGCCACGATGTACGACGTGCATAGTTTTGTATGATGTTGCTTGTATTATTTCGTCGTTGATTGGACTGAGTTGATCAGTCTTTATTGGTATATAGGCTCCTGCGTGGATGTCTTGATATTGCCTGTCGTTTCAATTATATAATAATGTTGAAGGGTCAAGGGATAAGTGCAAATGGATGAAAACATGCCTCTAAAAACCGAACATATTCATTTACTGCTATCAGTGATATTTACTAGTAGGTTCCTACTAATTATGATAAAAACCCCTGGGACAAGTGAGTCAAACAAGGTTGTATGCTGCTAATTCGAAAATTTAGACACATGAAAATAAAAACTAGCACAGAATTGCGTCAGTTCGGAAACAAATGAACAGAAATAAAACACCTCGGCTTCATCAGACATTATAGAGAGTGATTAAAAGTGCTTCTGGATCAAGAGTGTCAAGGTATACTAACTGTGTTGGACTGTTATGATCAGCTTAACCGAATTCACAGAAATATGATGGTTACCTGCTTCAAAATCCAAACCGCTACGATTTCACCCTCATCAATAGTGTTCATGTGTACAGATGGTGACCTAAAGAGCTTCTTCGAGAATAGCACATTAATAAAACTAACAGTTGAGAAGAAAAGAATCTGAGCGAAGAATAAAAATTATGAAACCTGGGTTTGGTGTGCAAAAACATCTCAAACATTCTTTTGTTTATCCGTGGTCATCCACAAAGATGTAAGTTATATAACTCGGGTACCCAATGATTCAACTACCTTGTTCACATCCTACATTAATTTGATATAGCGTCTTTCAGAGGTAGTATTCGTCACGAAATGACATCAGTTGGGGAACCATTGAAAATCTAGGGGCACTGGACAGCTTTTCCATCGTAGTACGGGGTTCCTCAGCAGTACTCACCCATGACACGGCTAGGGGTCGAACCCAGGACCTTCGGGGTTCATGGAGAACGCGTCAACCATCCAACCACTGGGTCGGTTCTCAGTGGTTCACAGTTTCCAAATTCTGTGCTACTATCACCCAAGGTCTTCAGTTGGCATCCGCTTCCCTTCCAAATGGTTGACCTCACAGGTCACGGTTTCTCATTAGAACTTCGTGATATCCATCTGGAAGCATGTCACTAGTGAGCGCTACAAAGTAATGTATTTTTTAGTTTGAATTTCTTAATTTTTCATTTGTTATAATATCCTATGCTTATTGATTGCCCGCTATGATTTTCAATTCTAATCAAACTATAGTCGATAATCATTGCATATGTTAGTTCTTTTATGTGGAGACGTGGCTAATTTATTTAGCCAGATGACTTTCAAACGACAGCTCATGGGTTCGAGCCCCGTTATACCTACCGAGGTTTTGGCGACCAAGGAGAATCATTAACCTTGATACAACAGGTCATTGCATACTGCATGAATGTGCATAAGGTAGCTGAGTGGATTTCAATTTCGACAATCCTTTCACACATTAATTATCCCAAATCCTGTGAAATAATCCCTTCCGTAATTCTAATCACCATAGTATACAGAATACTATCAATATTCAAGTTTATGTAACCACTTGTGCGTATGCTTTTCGGTGCAAAATATTGGATTCAAAGGAAAAGTCTAATCGAAATTTAAGATAAGAATGTATTTCCTCAAATTCTCGGAACAATGACTTTTTAGGTCAAGTTGGCAACAGCTGAAATAACCATTCAAGTTTCCTTATTTCGACTGGGAAGTTAGATTCATAATAATATACACAACAATAACTGGTTACCTCATTAGTTGCCTACTGGACAAAAGATCAGATCAAAAAGGGGAGCAGATGCAGGTTCACACCATTCACTGTCTGGTGCATGGAACCCGCCTTCAAAATCAAGTTGAAAGCCTTCAAAGAAGTTGATGATAGGCCACAGTTCAAGTTCAAGTTGAACACCCAGAACAGAAAGAAACTGAAGTAAAGGACGAAACTACAAACGACATCTTAACGTCAGTTAGTCATCAGGACAAAATGGGAGATATTGAACAATATCCCTGAAGAAACCTGCATGGAAGAACACTAGAATTCTATGAAAGAGATGCGGAAAGAAACCTGCATAACTGTATCAGGAAGGAAGAAGAAACAAGCCAAGCAATGGATCTTGATGGACACATGGAAGCTGATAGAGAAGGGAGAGGAAGATGGTGAGGCAGAAGATGGACCAGTGAAGCGCAGTGCAGTGCGTGCAATGCAGAGATGAATAATGAAAAGAGGAACTGAACACAACCTATAAAACACTACACTGGACAAAGAAGTGAAGAAGAGTGCGCGCAAAGACAAAAGACACTTCTATGACACACTGGCAAGTGAAGCAGAACAGGCTGCTGGTAGGAGACAGAAACCTGACAACATTATATCAAATAACTGGGCTACTATCTGGGAGGAAGAGATCAACTCAGATGAAAACAATGAAAGATAATGAAGGGAACGTAGTTAGCAAAGGGGAGAAACAAAGGAAACAATAGGCGGACCACTTCAAAAAACTCTTCAGTCGACCACCATCACCACCACCTGCAAGCCGTCCAGAAATACCACCAGCAGCCGGGTCCCAGAACTACCAGTGGACACAAGCCATCCGACAAAAGCAGAAGTGGAGTCCTGAACGCCATAGGGCTATTGGAATCCGGGAATGCAGCAGGACCAGATGGAATTCCACCAGAAGTGCTGAAAACAGACGCAGAGATAACAGCGGACATGCTCACACCACTACTGAAGAAGGCTTAGAGGAGGGAGGGAGGGAAGGAAGGAAGGAAGGAAAGTTACCTGCCCATTGATTGGAAGAAGAAGGGCTACTTTGTCAAACTTCCAAAGAAGGGAGACCTAAGTCTTTGCAAGAACTGTGGCGGAATCATACTCCTATCCTTGTCCACCCCGAGTAGGCAAAATATTAAGCCACATCATCCTGAAGAGACTAATGGATACGCTGAATTCAAAATTACGACCCGAACAGGCTGGCTGGCTGACTGGATTCAGGAAGTACAAATCATGTGCAGACTAAAATGCAACGCTACGCATCACCATAAAACAGGGCGTAGAATGACAGTCAACTCAACTCAACTCTACCTCAACTTCATCGACTTCGAAAAGGCCCTCGACAGCGTCGACCGAGAAGTAATTTGCCAGGCAGTTGCTTCAACACTACAGTCTTGGTGTCACAAACCTCTTTCAACCTCACTCAACAGCTAGCTATGTGCTATATGATGCTACATGCCAGTCATGTGATTCACGATGGGAAGCTCGATGACGCCTGTGAAGTGAAGGCAAGAGTAAGACAAGGCTGTCGCCTACTATCACCAATCAACTTCCTGATTGTGGCCGACTCGACTCGACTCGGCTCGACTGGATCATGCATCAAACCATGAGGAGCAAGAAGATGGGCATACGCTGGCTGGGTCGATGAAAAGACCTTAGAAGATTTGGATTTCCCCGCTACCAATGTCCAATGTCACACAAGCTGGAAGATTTACAGGCAAAAACCAACAAGTTGATGGAAGAGGCAGGACAGCGAAGGAAGACGGGGCTTCAAGTGAATGTAGAGAAGACGGAGGTGATGATGATACCCAACTAATGCCACCAACAACAACAACAAGCACCGATCACCATTAACAAGAGAAATCGAAAGAAGGTTGTCTCTTTCACCTACCTAGCCTAACCTAGGCAGCATCGTTTCAACTACAGGTGGCGGCGGCACAGACGAAGATGTCAAAGCAGCCAGGATCTGAAAGACAGCAAGACAGGCGTTCATTAACCTGAAACCAGTGTGGAGATCTACTGCACTCAGCAAAAAGTGTGAACAAGATGCGGATTTTCAACCCCAATGTCAGTCAAGTCAGTGCTTCTATGTGATGGTTCAGAGGCTTGGCGCGTCACGAAAGGGATTTTCAAAAAACTACAGACATTCATCAACAGCTGTCGTCTACGTTCACTCGGTACTGAAGATGGAGATCAGATGGCCAGAATAATAAGAATATGCAACAACGAACTATGGCCTGGCAACGAACCAACCAATAAACCTATCGATCAACAAATATGCAGAAGAAAGTGGAGATGAATTAGATTGAGTATACACTGAGAAGGGCGATTAGGGACATCACGCCCCAGGTCTTCGAGCGGAATCTAAATGGGAAACGATGAGTTGGGCGTCCGAGGCGAGGGTGACATGGAGGAGATTGTGTGAAGAAGAAATGAAAGCTTTTGGGCAGTGGTGGAGCCAGGTTGAAAAGACTGCAGAGAAAAGAGTGAAATGGAGAGGTGCTACTTAAGCCCTATGTTCCACTAGGAACCTAAGGGACAAATAATAATAATAAATAACAATCATTAGTTGCTAGAGTGGCCTGTAAAGCCACTCAATTCTCGTCCTCACAATGTTCCCATGGTAATATTTTATATACTGACTGATGAATTCATTTCAAGAGGATTTGACAATAGAAACTTGTGGGTTGGAGTCTCTAGGTGATACTGCTCGAACTGATGTCAGTGGGGCAGATGCATCCACACTATATCTTTATTTTTGTCGCTATACTAGGTTCAGCATTTTCTAATTCCTCCTTCCTCTCTTTTATTGCTTTTGATTGATTTTTTTTCTTTATCTTTCATCTTACTGCTTTGTTACTCGTTGTGCTGATATGAAGTGTGGCAACTTGAACCGTTACGCAGTAATGCCTATATTGGTATTGATTGATTTCAAGAGAATTGTTAACCACCTATACAGTTTTTCCAAACTCATCGGTAAGTCCAAATGGATCGGAAAATTACCTGGTAGGTTCTTTGTCTTATGTGATGAATGTATTTGAAAAAAGCACAAGATTCGAAATAATCAGATGTCGGTCCAGTTTGCTACATTTTAAGGAAGCACAAATGAAGCAGAATCCGATAAACGGGAAGGAAAGAAGATGAAAATGATATTAGTAGCTGTTAAAGTCCATTAAAACAGCAAAATATGAAAAGACTAATAGCACGTAATATTTTCCAGATTCAAGTTAACAAAAAGTATGGTTGCACTCCTGAGGTCGGTTCCTTTAGAATGCTTAATATTGCACCGTTGGTAATTGAATTGTAACTGAGTATAATATAGAAGTCATATTGCTAACTGTATACGGACTTGATAACAGTAAGTTTATCTTCTTTGAAAGACAATCTTCATCAGAAATACTGTTTTCCGATTTGGATGTGCTAAAAATATGAATTTAAATCTGTTCGTCGTCGATAAAATTTTGATAGAAAGAGTAGAAAATATAAAAAGATCCGAATTTGTCGACAAACCATGTGCGATCGACATCAAACATTAGTGTTCGAAACTCTGAGGTTAATCCAGTGCAACTTCACAGCGTCAACAACATGGAATCATCAGTAACCTGTATAGTAGCAGTAGAATAGCCTCTCTCAATTTTCATCCTTTTGTTATGTCTCGTCGCCAACAACAATATTACCCCAATAATTATCTTAACTGCTATTTTTGTGTTATGTACTGATGACTGACTTTAACGGAAAAGCATGTCCAACTACTTTCAAATAAGCTTCTCTCTGATATGTCTGTCGTTGATGAGAGCGAAACAGTAAACCATCCTGAGTAGAAATTGCTCACAAGTATAGACGCTCGACTTCCAATCGGTGGGTCTAGGATTCGAACGCCCCTCGACCTATAGAGGTTTTGTTAGCCGGGTCGTAACATTAGATCTCACACAACAGGTGGGCTCACTGCCTTCTGTACGTAAAGCATACGTGATTGCTGAATGCATTTCAATTCATTTTCTCCTATTGTTGCTCTTTTTCAGATATATTTAATGCTACTGGGTCGCATATAACCTTAGTCGAAAAGTGGAATCAACAACGCTCCAAAAATAAGCCGAAACAAGATATACTCTTAGTCCTTTATAAAGTTAACATAGTGAGAAGATATACATTGCACAAATAAGTGATTGATATAAAAGTCTTGGAAAAACAACTTACGGGATTTCAATGAGACTTTCATAACCACCTAAACTCTCAGCCAGAGTAAAGATCTGAAAAAGGATACGAAAAAAACAAGAGATCTTCAGCAGTCGTTCTCTCTCTCTCTCTCTCTCTCTCTCTCTCTCTATATATATATATATATATATATATATATATATATACTCACCCATCACTTATGGACTTGTGTACTACAGAACCGCGTTTAAATGTCGAGTGACCCACAAGTCCGTAACAGAAGCCTATCTGTCTTCAGAAAAACGTTGACCAACTCATAATAGTTTGTATGCAGTGGTCGAAAAAATTTTTCCTAGGTTTTTTTCTTTTATTTACTGCATAAAATCTAAATGATTAAAATAGTACTTGAATAAATCTGTATTTCATCGTTTCTACCTTCTTAACCGTTGTTGTTACGTATTTTACTTCATAATACTAAGTGTAATGTGTTTCTCCTTGTTTTTTGAAGTACCCAACAACTATTGTTTTCATTGGAATAAATAGTGAATTTTATAAAGAGGTTGACGTAAAAACAGTTGCGCAAATACAAATGGCGCTGATCCAACTGCCAACAAAAATACCTTCTTGATGTTTGACGTAAGTGTCCAACAGAATAATAAGAACGGTAGAACATAATACTGATGATCTGAAAACAACCATTCGAAAAAAATACTCGGCATTCATAGCATTCTTTCAAAATAGCTATTAGGGTTATTAAAAAGTCGATAACATTAATTTAATCTTAGTTGGTTGGAGGCGATCGGCAGAAAGCCATGCTCGACCTAAATTTCGTGCTTATGGCAGTTATCTGCAACCTCAACGGAATTGATATCCAGCCTAAAACTCGAACTCATGTCACCCAATGTTGTAGTCAGCGACTTTACCGCTGAGCTATTCGGGGCGTGATTGGCAATGGTTGGTCATAGGAGAGCAACCAATTTCGTGTTGTCTAGTCCTGTATGCTGACCGAATTCTGTTGGTCATTTTCGCAATTCGGCCACCAAGCTAGGAGGCTCAGCCTCGCAGTGCACATTGGCTGAAAGCAATCCGCAGGAAGCCCTGGTTGGAGAGTGTGTTGCTATTGACTGACTTTTTGTTTCGTTAACCTCCTGTGACCAGTAAATATACGTAACCCAGTCCTACAGAATGTCAGTCGCGCCCCGAATAGCTCATTAGCGAAGTCGCTGACTACCACACTAGGTGGCGCAGGTTCGAATCTCAGGCGAAATGTCAGTTTCGTTGAGGTTGCACATAAGCTCTAGGGACAAGTGCCAACAAGCACGATGCCTAGGTCCAGAACTTCCCACCGATTGCCTATAATCAACTAACATCCGTCAATATGCATCGCGATGCTGAACCTCCTAGTTTGCTGGGCACATTGAAAAATGATCGACAGAATTCGGTCTGCACTCAAGACTAGATAACACGAGATTGGTTGCTCTCCTATGACCAATCAATGTAAGCTGGTTTCGTTTTACTATGAGTCAATTTTAAGAAAATTTAGTTGCTATGCATACAGATTTCCAGATAGTAAAAATGACTATTACTCAATATATTCCCTTGGAAATTGTTGGTACGAAAAGGCTTTAGGGAATTCTTATAGAATCATATTTAAAGATCATATTTGATTAATTAGGTACTTACTGTTTACTTATCTGTGTAGTAGCAACCTTCGATTAATGATAAGTACATCAGTTTTAATATTTCAGTTTACCCAACCGACAGCTGCTGCCTTGACTTGGTAGTTGGGCTATGTTGGTAGGACGCTTATTTCCTCGATGTCCTACTAAAGTAGAAAGGTCTAAGGAGTAGTGGTAAGACGAAAAGCAGTTTTAGTGTAAATTGCTGCCCTATGATGAGGATACGAGGGAGAAGTTGTTCTGCTTGCTGGACGGGAAGCGTGACACCAATAAGGTGTAGCCTCTAGAAAAATAAAAGTACTACGCTGACACCGCCTCCCTTATGGGAAGGGGGTAGGGCAGAAAAGGTCAGCTTTAAAGATTGCAAACTTCCCACAGCATCCCAGTGCCGATGGCATGAGTTCATGGTCGAAGTGAAAAGTAACAAACTGAAACCTTAACAATGGTGTTTAGACACTAGTGTCTACAGAAAACATATATCGGAATCATTACTTCAACTTTGTCATTTCATCATGTCAGTTAAAATAGGTATAGTGAAACTTTCAAATAATAGAGCGGAACATCTATGCAGTAAAACAGGAAATCTATGACAAGAAATCGAAATGTATAAGAGAAATCTTACTATTTAATAGTTATCCTCGTAAAGGGGTACAGTAATGTACAAGAAATTATAAAAAGAGGATGAGTGACACAGATATAGATAATATTGATTAGTAAGAAGAAGAGGAAACAAGGATCGCCGGTTAAAGGATCCTAAAGACCCCCTTAGATTGTAAGGTTACGTATAAAGGTCAAAGTAGTCGACCGAAGTCAGTTAGCATAACAGAGTGAAAAAGCTTGACCGAAACATGAATCGTAGACTCTAGTAATGTAAAAAACAATTTACAGAAAACTTCAATGATTGCGAAGTATGCAGTCACACAAAAGAATAGGATAAACTGACAGTCCTGAAAACTAACTCATCGTCATCATGTTTTGTTTATCGCATCACCATTGAAAACATGCAACAGGAATGGCTCAACACCTATATTCCAGATATAAGGAAAATCGTACTACCCATACGACAAATAAAGGTGAAGAGAATTTTAAAAACGGCGTAACAGATGCAGAGTTACCTTTGATAGGAATATGAACAACAGTTTCTATTCGAAACACTATCTAGTAGATAATACTGTTTCATTGTGTGAAGTGCACAACAAAAACAAGTTAACACAAGATTATACACTACCACAATGGCCAAGTTCCACTCTAACTCTAACTGCTATTGACATCCATCTAACTAGTCCACTTCAGGGTTGGTCACGTTTAGGAGAAAAGACATGAAATAAAAACATGATTCATATCAGGTTAGCGTTTAATTCTCAGGGTATGTATTGATCTGTGAGTATTTTACATTCGATTAAAAAAAGTGGAGTTATAATTCTTTGAGGTAGTGAAATAGCCTTCAGTATGGTGTTGCTCTTTGAAAAATCCTTATTTTAACTATTACTGATCCGTTTTCAAAGCTCTGTGGTCTCACTACGGTGTTACTTCCATGCAGAGAAAGATTTATGCTAATGTTGCAACAAAAGATACTTGAAGAAAAGCTTGTGCTTATCTCAAATCACGGGATTTACATCCAAGTCAAAATGATCACCAAGTAATTAGGCAATCGTTAATTACTTCAGCAACATATTTGTGTACATTATGGTTCGTCTAGTCCAGGTATGGCTCACTAGTTTAGGCAAACAACTTTCAAATAGTGGGACCCAAGTTCAAACCGTGCTTAAATTAGTGGCAGTCTGATGTTCTCTGAGCTTTAATATTTTGTCGAGAACACTAAACCACCATCATCATCTTGAACTACAGATCCTTTCCACCCCTACTTTATCTACTTCAGCATAGGAAACCAGAATGTACAGGGCAAAAATCTGTAGTCAGTTGCTGAAGTTACACTTCTTCATAACTAATCACTTAAAGCAACCATCCTATCACTAGAGTGAAAGATGAAAATAGAGTCAGTCAGCTAGATGTTAGTTGGATGGAGCCAAACGGCAGGAAACTCTATTTGATCTGGGTTTCGTGCTTGTTGGCACTCATCAGCAAGGCGTACCTGACACCTCGACGTAACTGATGTCCCTTGTGAGGTTCGAACCCGCGTCACCCAGTACTGCAATCAGAGACACTACCACTGAGCTACTTGTGGTACAACTGACTTTCTGTAGAACTGGATTGGGCACATTGATTAGTCACTGGAGAGTAATCAGCCAGAGTCAGTTAATAGCAACACACTCAAAAACCAAATTTAATTATTGATACCTACAACGACAAATAACCAAAGGATACTGTTATAAAAAGGACAACGTATGGACTGACAAACAGAAATGTTCTCTGTAATGTAATTACCTTTAGGTTGGTAACAAACATTTTAGTTTGTTCACCTGTGCATCGTAGATAAACAGTTATCATGCCGCTAAAACCATGCATTTGTTTTGCAATCACATCTTGTTGAGGAAATGATTTCAAGCCTTAAATGTTAGGAGAAAATGTTGAAAATTAAGAGAATGTATTACACAGTACAATATACGCTAGGTTACATTTTTCCATATGACAAGTGTAATATACCACACACACACCTAGCTGATAGAAGAATAAACACGTCTTTTAGGTATGCCCCAGAGGTGCAATTCCGTTTTAATTCATCCGTTAGATGCATCACATAGTGGAACGGTCTTACTGATTCGCCATAGTCATATCAAGATAACTAACCCCACAACGTTGAGACATAATTTAGATAGTTCTAATTCCTTCGCCTTCTTTGTGATGTAGGTATTAAAATGTTCCATATATTTAGATATATTTGGTTTGATAAATAACGATTTAGCTATTAATCTCTCCCTTCACTCCACCATGTTAGTTTGGAAGATTCTCACCCTATCCCATCCTACTGTGTGGTTACGTGTAATTACATGCATTTCTATTATCGGGCTTTTTTTCTAAATTCCTTATCTTGCTAAAATCTTCAGGTTTGACCTCACTAGATTTTTGTGCTTGGGTAGCCTGACTGATCCTAATCGACTACTTTGACCTATGCATTTGACCTTGAAATCGTTGCATGGGGTTTGGTAAGCTAAATCGTTCTGCCTAATCAGATTAATAGGATCCTTCAACCTACAAAACTTATAGATATCCAAAACAATTTGGGAGTTGATGGTTTTTAAGTTTAAATGCCACTCTAATCCCAGCCTTATTGAAAACCCTAAGTTATGTCTTTGAGGTGCTTTCCTTGCACGGTAATACTATAGAGGTTTTGAATTCCCTCTGCACAGTAGTGCCACTATTATTACTAACATTATCAGCATTATTATCACCTGTGTTACTAACATTAATTATATTTTTCTTACGATTACTAAGAAATTTATTATGTAATTTAGGATGGCAATTGTTGTTGAGTAAGGTGTCCTTAATGTATCAGGTTTCGTGTCTTAGATCTTCTGTCTTACTAGTGAGTTTTTTGGCCCTGTTACTTCGATATTTTACTAAGCCAACGTTAACTGGTATACGGTGAGATGATTTGAAGTCTAAGTAACGCTTCAAGTGTAAATGTTCTCTATAGGCACTAGTGTCTTAGCTCTCGTCTTTTTTCCGTTTTATTCCGCAATCTAACATCACTAATTACCCTTTACCACTTTCTAATTCATAGGTAAATTGGACTGTGTTGACTACTGGATTTATGCCTAAAGAAACTATCTATATGCTCTGATTTCAACACTGTAAACATGCCATCTAAATATCGAAACTATACTTTTCGAGCAGGAATAAGTGTTTCAACAGCCATCTGTTGTTCCGAACTATCTAAAAATATGTCTACCACAATAGGCGGATATTGGTGATCCCATGGCAACTTCTGTTTGTTTTTATATTTGATTCTGAAACCTAAAGATTTTGGAGGTTAAGCATAGCTGTACTCCTAGCATAATGTCATGTCCTGGTACCTTACTTCGTAGTGTAGGTTTATGTTCATTATTGAGGTCATTTGTTACTGCTTTCAGAGCCATACAAATCAGTATATTAGCATGCAAAAAAGGCTACATCGAAACTAACCATTTTTTCACCATCATCTATTCTATGCGTCAAGTCATAAGCGTTAGTGAGTCTATATTAATTGAATCAACACCAAGTACATGTAACAAGAATGATTCACGACCTGTTCGAGATATATGGAACATCCTAATACCTATATCACAAAGAAGGCAAGGGAATTAGAACTATCTAAATCATGTCTCACAGTTGTGAAGCTAGTTATCTTGATATGACTATGGACAATAGATTGTGTCCTTAACTTAATCCAGTAAATAATACCGTTCCACTGGGATTACATTTTACCACAGTGCCCAGGTTTTACTCTTATATTAGTACTAAGAGGTGATCAGTTAAATACGTCGGACATATATTTCCTTTTCGTAAATCATCAAAAACACATTACATGCATGACTTTTCTTCAAAAATGCACCTAAAGTGCAAATAAGCGACTTCAGATGAACAATTCCTAATCTTCGTAAATTTAAATATGCCTACGTATGCGTTTTCTTCTATGAAAATGATCTCCTGAGTAGATGGAGATGATTGCCTCTCACACATACAAATCAACTCTGCTAACTTTAGATAAAAACCTTTAATAAGTATATGTGTCACATTAAATACTTCATTTAAGATTATTGCAGTTAGCTCACACCCTTACTCAAATAAATACTGATACATAAGTCATATTTCGGGTTTAGGACACTACTCATAAGAAACTGACCAGGTGATAAACATTGAACCTGGGACTTCTATACCTATTTTTTGATAGCTGGCTACCGAAACGTAAATAGTTGAAGTGGAGTTCTGACTCGTGAATCATTGGTTGAAAGGCAAGACTGCCAAAACCAATGGATATCAGCTCTTTCAGATTTATACGGAGATATCTAAGGTTTCAATGAAAGCTATGCATGAAAAACCACTAAAAATACATCATTAAGAAAAAACACATCATAATATCATTGGGTCTAAAAAACACTGGTATACATACCTGGATGTAAAACTTTTTCTATCAGAGGATGTTTATCAAGCATCATGGCCACTATAAGTCCGTTTCGCATATGCGCTTTCATTCGTACTGGCAGTGTACGCAATCCTCTGAGACACAGCATACAATCGAAGGGAGATGGAACAGCTCCACCAGCAAACTGTATGAATCTAAGCTGCTTGTGTAGTTCTGGACGATTACGTGTTATTAATGCACCCATAACTAAATCAGAGTGCCCTATTTGAGAAAAGCGGGAATTAAGTGTTTTTAATTCTCATATTTATATGCATGTCTAAACAAGTTTTATTCTATAATATAGAAGAGAAACAGACTATGACCATGAAAATATCAGTTTCGTATGAGCCAATATCACGTTGCTGTCAAGTTGATTTAGAGATCTACGTAGTTACAGTAACTTTGGTCAGTGAACTGTCAGCAAAATCTTAGTGTGAGACGATGGAAGTGAGTTCATGAGCAATAATAAATAGTCTAAAGAATTTAATAATTGTATATTCAGACATTTATCAACACACTGAGGAAGTGTGATTTACAATTATAATCATTAAAAGCGACACCTTCCAGTAGATAAAAAACGGATGCCCGTCTTGGTGACCAGCAGTGGAATCTAGGACTCGTGTTCCATTCGATTGGGGACTCGTTGACTGGATATACCTGCACCTCAGTGAGTATTGTTGTTCCCACTGAGACTAAAACCCAGTACCCTTCACTTCAAACTCTAAAGCGTTACCAAGTAGGCACTCGAAGCGCGATAGCCACCTCTGGTGCAACGGGTATCAGGTGTTTTTTTACACTTGTTATTTCCTCTTACTATACAGGGCTGAATCGCTCAATCTTTGTTATCAGATGAACTCCTATGTGGACGCCTGAATACTGCCGGATATTCATGATGTCATATTCATCTTGGTAAGGTCGAGCGATTCGGCCCTGTATAAAAACAAGGAATTACAAGTATCAAAACAAAAACGAATGTCCTTTGACAACAGGGTTTGAGCAGGTAGATTTTTAAAAACAATTTCATAATTATGCTATGAATACATAGGATTACTGCATGAATTCTATCAATGTTGGCTCACAATAGATAGAAAAATTAGCTCGAGGTACTATCGGAAACTTTACAATTTACAGTACCTCGCAACAGTGTACTCTTTACTCTTCATTTACCCTTCATTTTCCTGAGCGGGAATAACGTATTATTTTACATGTATTTGTCTTTGACATTCTTGTATCTTTCTTCGGATTCATCTCACCATCTTATTCTTTATACTATTCTAACCCGAATGTACTGTTTCTGGTTATGGTAGCTAGTGGTGATAAGTTGTAGTGGGTTAAACTTTCATTCAGTAAAATTAACAATTCTAAAATACATGGAGCTAACTATAAAGGTTCACGTTCTAAGGATGCTTATATAAGAAGAAAGTCATACTTCTGCGTTTACATATTGGTCCATCTGTTGATTAACAATAAAATTGATGTAACTATCATACCCTGAACTCAGTGACTATGTATATTTAAGTGTATTAAGAACGATAAGCAACACCAGTGCAAGGGGTCATGATACTGCCTGACCTCTCAAAATCTTGGCATGTGGAATAGGTTTCAAACTCTGGGGCTCACTGGTTTAAATTCAAACGCCTAGAACAATGAGCTCCAGCTATACTGGTGATCAGCGAAAGCGGTAAAAATACATAGTATTCATTGTACTTCCTTTAGTATTCTCAAAAAATAGTCACTAATATAATTTGAGTCATTTAAATAATAGTAAAATAATTTTTCAGGATAAAGAAAAGCTTTCCTTATTGGGTCATACATTTTCTAAAGGAATACTCATATTTTGCAACAGCAAGTCAACCATACAGTTCGTCTAGATGACTGTGAAATAGACGGCTTACCATTCATATACTTTGTCAGAGAGTGTAAAACAACATCTGCTCCGTGATCAAGTGGACGCTGTAGGAGAAAATAAAACATTGAGTTAACTGGATTTTAAAATCATATGAAAAAGTAATCTATCTAATTACGTGTTACGCTTATCACGAGTGATTCGTGACGTCTAGCTGGTGACAAAGCGAAACACCAATGAAACGTTTTCATTGCGTCTAAATTTCATCATACAATACCAATGATGAGATGGCTTATCATCAAGTGGTAAAACATGATTGCTATAAACAATTTTCATGCAGTTTTAGAAAAACAAACGACTGATAAACATTGAACTGGATCTTTCAGTTGTGGAGACAAGTAAAAAGTAGAGTAGATTACCATTAAGTGTTCATATTGTATAGAACAAGTGATTTTTTTTTACTGGCGCATTAAGATCATAAACGTTTTTGAGCTATATTGATCTTGGTGACTAGCAGAGGAATCTGGGATGCGCGTTTCGTCCTATTTGGGACTCGTCAAATGGATGTGCCTGCACCCCAGTGGGTGATGTTGTTCTTAATGAGACTCGAACTCACTATCCATCATTTTAAACGCCGGGGCGTTTATATATATATATATATATATATATATATATATATATATATATATATATATTCGTGTATATTGCTCTGTGATGATGTATTCCGTTACTGTTACTGGAAACAGGTACCATATTGTAAAGTTTAGTATTTTTACCATCTCAATGAACAATATGTGTCGCTCTAATGAACTTGTCTTCAGAAGGAATAAAAATATTTCAAGGTTAGTATAATTCGCTAAAATTGTTTTACAAATATGTTGGTTTTTATCATTATTTAAGATTTATTTATCACATAAAGTGATAACAGTAAGTCAGTGTACTACCTTTTATGGGTCAGTTAACTGAATATGCATGATTTATGGTGAACGAAATAAATTTAAGGATTGTCTAAATTAGAAGTCTGAGTTTATTGTTCACATAAACACTGAAAATATTTATCAGCATTATCTTATATGGAAACAAAAGACTGCAAATGTTTAGATAACTTACGGTATGATAGACAAATCTTAAATAATGATAAAAACCAACATATTTGTAAAACAGTCTTAGCTAATTATACTAACCTTGAAAACTTTTAATTCCTTCTGAAGACAAGTACATTAGAGCGGCATAAATTGTTCATTGAGATGGTAAAAATACTAAACTTTTTGCAAACAATTTCTTATTATATGCATCTCATTCCGCCTTTTTATTGTTTCTAAGTCTAGAGGAATTAACAAAGTCAATCCTGTGACCTGTCTTAACGATATGTTTGGCGATTGAAAATTTGGACGTCTTCAACTAAGGTTTATGAGCTCAGGTGATTCAATTTGCTTCTGAAGCCACTTCGGAATATGCTCCGAGGCCGTAACTTGTGTGGCTCTATGAATCCTCCCCACGTCATCATCATCATTATCAACATAGGACCAGGCATTACTGCGTAATGGTCCGAGTTGCCACACCTCATATCAGCACATCAAGTAAAAAGGTAGTGAGGTGAAGGATGAAGATAAGTGAATGCAGTCAAAAGAAATATAAAGTACGAGAAGAAAGGAAAGAGGAGTGACAAAATAGTGAGATTCGGTATAGCGTTGTTAAGATGAGGATAATGTGTGTATACATCTGCGCCACTGACTTCGGTTCTGAGCCATATCACCTAGGGTCTCCAACCACTGGTTCCTCTTGTCCCGTGGACCCCAACCACCTAGTCTGCATCGTCCTACATGGCTTAAACCAACAGTCAGAGACTTCATACATTGGTCCCCACGTATGTCTCACCACAAGCACATCTGAATCAGTAGATGCATTGGGATGTGACATTGTCATTCATATGCTGTAAGGGTTTGGTGATTTCTATTAGTCGGATCCTAACTGGATACTAAGTATTGCTAACAGCAGTAGTAAACCTCTACCTAAGAATTGTGCTATGAAAGTCACTTTTGTACAGAAGACTGATGATGACATTTTTCTTCGGGACAAAGTGAAGAACAGTCAATGTTCTTGTCTTCTAAAGTATAATCTGTGCATCGACGTTGAATTCTATTGAATGAGCACCTTACTAACACTTGCTTGTTGAGTGACCTCATTTAATCCTGATGTTTTAAGTGAGGATTAAATGAGGTCACTCAACAAGAGATACGGCAAACAATCGTACCACTAACCAGGCAGAGGAGATATCATGCTCAAATGAACAGTCAAGAACAGAAAACATTAAAAAGACTGAAAAATAGGAAAGATATCGTTATATTTCCAGCAGACAAAGGATGCACTGCAGTAGTCATGGACAAAGAAGACTATATCAAGAAGGCAGAGGAGCTACTCAAAGATGAAAATGTGTATCAACCACTTGAAACCAACACTATCCGAAAGTTCGACAACCAGACCAATAAAACCTTGAACAAACTCTTCAAAGCAGATATCACAAAGTAAGACAAATGGCGTATGAAATCGAATGGACGTATCCTTCCTCGACTCTACGGCAGACTAAAATTACACAAACCCAATATCCCTCTACGACTAAAAGTCTAACTTCCAGGAACTCCAACACACAACATATCAAGAGAACTTTCGAGAAAACTGAAACACCTCGTCCAATCACGCGGACATTCCATCAAGTCACCAACGGAATTCTAAGAAAAGATCAAAAGTATTAACGTAGAAAACGATCAGTCAATGATATCCTTCGATGTTACAGCACTATACACATCCATCGAACCACAATTGACCAAGGAAACGATATCCCTCCTGATCAATGAAGACAAAAATCTTTCAGAACGCACAAAACTCAAATATTTAAGTCTGATGGAACTCATACACCCTTGTATGACAACATACTTCCGGTTCAAGGGTAAAATATACAAACAGATGAAAGGAACTAAATTCGGATCACCGATATCCGGATTAATTGCAGAAGCAGTGATGCAGAAGCCATTATTCTACCTGTGATCAAACCAAAAATCTGGATTCCCTATGTAGACGACACTTTTGTCATCATTAAAAAAGATGATATAGAAAACACTCACAGTTTGATAAACAACTTCTTCAATGACATCAAATTCACAATGAAGAAAGAGTCAAACAACCAACTGCCATTCCTGGATGTTTTAGTCAGTAGGACAAATGCCGGAAAGCTGGAAACTCAAGTATACAGGAAGCCAACACACACTGACCAAATCCTCAACTACAATAGCAACAACCCAACAATACACAAAATCAGTTTCATGCAGACTCTAATCAAAAGAGCGAGAACACACTGCAGCACAACAACTTCACGGAGAAACGGAGAAAATTACTTGATGTCCACCCTAAAGAAGAACGGCTACCCACGAAACTTTATCAGAAGATGCCTATCCCGTGCATCACCAACTACAAAGTCATCAACACAAATCAACAAATGCGTCTTCCCACCATACATAAAAAATGTATCAGAAATCATGACAAGATTGCAGAGACCACTTGGTGGAATTGGTGTGGTTCATAACCCAACAAATTCCCTGCGAGCACAATTGTGCAAACCAAAGGATGCAACAACCAAAGAAGACAAACCGAATTTCATTTACAAAATCAACTGCAATAACTGTAGTCAACACTATATTGGACAAAGTGATCACCCTCTTCGCCTTCGTCAACATGAACACCAATTGGCTATTAAACGTCATTTCATTTCATCACTCATTTCAATGCATGCGGATAGCAACTCTGGACATGAGATGAATTTCGACAATGTAGAAATTGTGGACAGAGGAAACACAAAGACTTCCTAGAAGCTTGGCATTCAGGTTAGTCAGTCAGTCAGCAATCAACAGATGTATACACATAGACCAAATCTATCAACCAATAAGAGAAATGATAAACGACAGAAAAGTGAGAGGTCAAGCAGAGGAACAGCCAACAGGAAAGTCTATACAATCAATGACACAACAATCGAAGGAAACAACCAATCACAGACCACATCGTCAGAGCAAGCTACTAAATCACTCACGGAGAGATACTGACAGCTCACTTCACAGTGAAGTTAGTGCTGATGGTGTCGTCAAGCAAGACGATGAAAGCTTCACGATTAAACAACCCAGCTCAGAGAACACAATACAGGCAAGACCATCCACCTGAACTATAAATATCCTCCACTTTCATCTGCATATTTGTTGGGCGATGGGTTTATTGGTTGGTTCGTTGCCAGGCCATAGTTCCTTGTTGCATATTCTTATTATTCTGGCCATCTGATCTCCATCTTCAGTATCGAGTGAGCGTAGACGGCAGCTGTTGATGAATGTCTGTAGTTTTTTTGAAAATCCCTTTCGTGATGCGCCAAGCCTCTGAACCATCACATAGAAGCACTGACTTGAATAACATTAGGGTTGAAAATCCGGATCTTGTTCACACTTTTTGCTGAGTGCAGTAGATCTCCACACTGGTTTCAGGTTAATGAACGCCTGTCTTGCTGTCTTTCAGATCCTGGCTGCTTTGACATCTTCGTCTGTGCCGCCGCCACCTGTAGTTGAAACGATGCTGCCTAGGTTAGGCTAGGTAGGTGAAAGAGACAACCTTCTTTCGATTTCTCTTGTTAATGGTGATCGGTGCTTGTTGTTGTTGTTGGTGGCATTAGTTGGGTATCATCATCACCTCCGTCTTCTCTACATTCACTTGAAGCCCCGTCTTCCTTCGCTGTCCTGCCTCTTCCATCAACTTGTTGGTTTTTGCCTGTAAATCTTCCAGCTTGTGTGACATTGGACATTGGTAGCGGGGAAATCCAAATCTTCTAAGGTCTTTTCATCGACCCAGCCAGCGTATGCCCATCTTCTTGCTCCTCATGGTTTGATGCATGATCCAGTCGAGCCGAGTCGAGTCAAGTCGGCCACAATCAGGAAGTTGATTGGTGATAGTAGGCGACAGCCTTGTCTTACTCTTGCCTTCACTTCACAGGCGTCATTGAGCTTCCCATCGTGAATCACATGACTGGCATGTAGCATCATATAGCACATAGCTAGCTGTTGAGTGAGGTTGAAAGAGGTTTGTGACACCAAGACTGTAGTGTTGAAGCAACTGCCTGGCAAATTACTTCTCGGTCGACGCTGTCGAGGGCCTTTTCGAAGTCGATGAAGTTGAGGTAGAGTTGAGTTGAGTTGACTGTCATTCTACGCCCTGTTTTATGGTGATGCGTAGCGTTGCATTTTAGTCTGCACATGATTTGTACTTCCTGAATCCAGTCAGCCAGCCAGCCTGTTCGGGTCGTAATTTTGAATCCAGCGTATCCATTAGTCTCTTCAGGATGATGTGGCTTAATATTTTGCCTACTCGGGGTGGACAAGGATAGGAGTATGATTCCGCCACAGTTCTTGCAAAGACTTAGATCTCCCTTCTTTGGAAGTTCGACAAAGTAGCCCTTCTTCCAATCAGTGGGCAGGTAACCTTCCTTCCTTCCTTCCATCATTCCAAACCTTCTGCAATAGTGGTGGGGTGTGAGCATGTCCGCTGTTATCTCTGCTTCTGTTTTCAGCACTTCTGGTTGAATTCCATCTGGTCCTGTTGTTTTCCCAATTTCAGCGACTTTATGGCGTCCAGGACTTCGACTTTTGTGGGAGGGTTTGTGTTCACTGGTAATTCTGTGACTGGGCTGCTGGTGGTATTTCTGGACGGCTTTCAGGTGGTAGTGTTAGTGGTCGATTGAGTTTCATGAAGTGGTAGGCCTATTGTTTCCTTTGTTTCTCCCCTTTGCTAACTAGGTTTCCTTCACTATCTTCCATTGGTTTCATCTGAGTTGATCTCTTCCCTCCCAGATAGTAGCCCGGTTATTTGATATGGTGTAGTCAGGTTTCTGTCTCCTACCAGCAGCCTGCTCTGATTCGCGATTATGCAGGTTTTTTTCCCCATCTCTTTCATAGAGTTCCAGTCTTCTTCCACATAGGTTTCTTCAGGGATGGTGCTCGATATCCCCATTTTTTCCTGATAACTGGCTGACGTGAAGATGTCGTTTGTAGTTTCGTCCTTCACTTCAGTTTCTTTCTGTTCTGGGTGTTCAACTTGAACCATGGCCTACCACCACCAACTTCTTTGAAGGCCTTCAACTTGACTTTGAAGGCAGGTTCCTCGCACTAGATAGTAGTGTAAGTGATATGAACCTACATCTGCTCCCCTTCTTCATCTGATCTTGAGTCAAGTAGGCTGCGTTTCCACTTTCTTCACATTCAGATGAAGTCGATCTGATTTTCAGTGTGTCCATCTGGTGAAGTCAACTCCATGTCGCTTCGTGAACATCCTTGTGTTTGTAGACAATGCCTCCAATCACAAAATCATTAAATGCGCAGAAGTCTGAAAACAGTTCTCCAGTCTACCTCATCATTTCACCGAGTGCTTCTCGACCCATGAGGAGTTCCATTCCAGTGTTGTCCACTCCCAGTTTAGCACTCATGTCACCCCACACATTAGAGTTTTGGTGTCGCCAACTGGAGTCTTGTCCAGTACTGATTGCAGTTGTCTGTAGAATTCCTCATTCTTCTCTCCATCCGCATTATTTGTGGGCGTGTAGCGTAGGATTGCATGATTGTGACTTTCCTTCCTTTTGAGTTGAATCCATCTTGTTGTCATGAACCTGCATAGGGAGTTTGGTTCCCACTGCACGAGACCCTTCGATGCTGTTGGGGACATCATGATAGCCAAATTCGAGTGTGCTCGTGGTTGTCGTGTCGTCAGGGTTACAATATCGGGGTAGATTATCGACTCTCCAGTTGACAGCTTAGAGAGTCCCCTTCCATTCCATCTGCTGATTCCTCGCAGATTCCTAGCCTGGCGCTTCTATGCTATGTCTTCTCATCTCCTTTGCAATCTGGGAAGCTTTGCTAGGTTCAAACATTGTGCGGACATTCTATGTTCCCATCCTTATTTTCGCTTTCACTGAGGGAGAGAAGACAAATCGGCTGATTGGCTTCCCGAAGGCTTTCACCAACTGGCGTCATTTTGTCTCTCCGATTCCAGCGAGGAATAAGTTTATTTTATTTTTCGTATTTTTTCTGTGCTTTGAAGTTTCTGTAGCGGTTAGATTGATTTTCTGAGGTAGGGTTGCTAGCCCTATGCCCAACCTTCCCTCTTTACCTGGGCTTAGGACCGACTAGTAACGAGTGAACTAGTTAAGCAGATGGACTTTCCCAATTAGGTTCTCCGCTAAAGTTTTCACGTGTGACATAAAGGAATTCCCATGGAAACGCCTCCGATGTGACTGGAGTTTTCACTCTCGAATGTACATTTAATATTGACTGTACATAAAAGTTATGGCTCTTTTAGAAAATGCCCAGAAGTAGGCACTGAAAAATTATGCATGGAAATGTAATCACATAAAATGCCAGTTGTCTTGACCAAAGAGACATTGGGGAACAGTGAGTTAACGTCAAATGAACGCATAAATTTACGTGTTATTTTGAGATCATCAAGGCATTTGATTACTTCAAATTTAAAAAACAATTATAGAATCGCTTTTTGATGGGATTCAATGGCTCCACTAACCACTGGACAAGCTTATGCGTCGATGATTTTTACATTCGTACATTCATGTTTCTATCCACAATTATAGATACTTTTGCTCGATTCTTCACCCCAGTCGATCGTTACCACTTTTGAGCTTGATATACATACTACTTATATCGATTCATATTATAAATAGAGCCCATTACAGTTTAGTTAGGCACAACCTGTTAAATTAATCCCATTTGCCCAAAAAACAACATGCCGACTACATATTTAGACAGAAAGTAGCTATTATAGATCAAACAACGTACTAGCAAGGTAAAATTAAACATATAAGCCGATAATTTAGATCGATTGGTGTTTATTAAACAGCAATGAGGACAGTTTTTATGACTCAACTAAAAAAATCATTAGTGTTACGCAACTAGCTTAGTGATCGTGTCTAGTTCGTAAGAACAATCAATCTCAAAATGGTTATCAATGTTAACCGAAAATCTTAATATCTAATGATTCAACTCAGTTAATATTTTTTGATTATATTTTGTAACCAGCCAAGATATCCGATGAACTTCAACATTCACATTAAGACCAAACAGGGTGAAAAGAATTGTCAAATAACTAAAACCAGAAACAGGAAAGGTGCTTCACAGTGTTAATGATTTGATACTAACCACAGAGATAATACCTAGGAGCAGGCGACTTTCAGAAACAGGCTTAATAGTTTAATTACTGTTATTTCCAGGAAAGATGCCTACGAAGCGTTAGGAAGTAATACCTCAGTTTTAATCATACTGATACTGGTTACCATGATCTATTGAATAATTAGCTGACCATATAAAATGAATTGGTTAAAAACTAGATAGCTTCCGATTCTCTGAGATGAAAGTACTTGAAAAAGGACTAAACTTCAACATATCAGTAGATCATCTAAAACCAGAAGATGTCATACCTAGCATAGAAGTAGCATTAGGCCCGATGGATGTGACAACTGAACAGGTTAGAGCGCAGTGTGCATTAGCACTAAAAAAACAAAGGAAAACACAGCGAAACTTAACGAAACTGGAAAATTCAGCCTTAAACAATCTATGAAAGGATAATAGTATAGTAATTACTAAATCTGACAAAGGTAACTCAACAGTAGTTATGGACAAATCGGATTATCTTAAAAAAATGTATGAACATATCCAAACAGGGCCATATGAAGAGATTAAGAAACCTATAGATACTGTCATGAATAAAATTAAGAAATCTACAACAGATCTGATACTCCGACTGAAGCCATCTCTAGGTAAGTCCGAATGGTTTACTTTATTGCCAAAAACTAATAATCCTAGCAGAATTTACGGTACTATTAAGGTTCATAAAGCAGGTTATCCCATTAGGCCGATAGTTGATTTCCGGAACACACCAACATATGAGATATCAAAGTATTTAGCATCAGTATTACGTCCTATTAGAGACCATTCAAACTCTAGACTAGTAAATTCTTACGAGTTGAAACAAAAACCTAATAACCTACACATAGAAGAGAATGAAAAAATGGTTAGTTTTGACGTAACAAGTCTTTATACTAAAATACCAATCAATATGGCACTGGAAGCAGTCAGAAATCTACTAGATACTGACTCACAACTTACTCAAAGAACCAAGGCATCGGTTGATGAAATCATGTTAGGAGTGCAATTATGCTTGACCTCGACAGTCTTCAAGTTTCAGGGAAAGATATATAAACAAACAGAAGGAGTAGCAATGGGATCACCAATATCCCCTATAGTAGCAGATAGCTTCCGATTCTTGAAGACAATACTGAAAATTAGGATACGAATCCTAACTTGGAAAACTACAAGTTCTGTAAAACAAATATACTGACTTTTACACAACAACATAAACTAGATACAGTCTAAAGTCAACGCAAAACAGAAATGTACATGCAAGAATTAGTACTTACACAATCATTTTGAATGTTTTGACATCATAATAAATACTGTTCATAAAGAAAATTTTCCCTACTTACCTGAAAATAAGAGCTCATGAAAGTGTTATCAACAACAACAATGATTTCTCTATTGAATTCATGTGTAATTGATGATATTATATCTATGTCCACCAAACGCATTAGTGGATTTGATGGGGTTTCCACAAGAACTAAACGCGTATTTTCTTGTATAGCCTCACGGAATAACTTCAAGTCACGCATATCAACAAAAGTAGATTTTATACCAAATTTTGTAGCCAATTGGCGTAAATATCGTCCATTACCTGCATATGACAGAAAACAGTGTATATCGGTTAAACTATATACATCGATCCCTAAAGCAATATTTCTTTGTATATCTCTATACTTATTATTATTATTACTATTATTATTATTATTATTATTATTCGTCCCTTGGGTTCCTAATGGAACACAGGGCTTCAGTAGCACGTCTCCAGTGCACTCTCTTCTCTGAAATTTTTTGAACCTGGTTCCACGACAGCTCACAAGCTCTCATTTCCTCCTCACACGATCTCTTCCGTGTCACCCTAGCCTCGCACGTCCAACTCATGGTTTCCCATTTGGATTCCACTCGAAGGCCCGGGCTGGCGCATGCTGTCCACAAATGGTCTTTTCAGTGTATGCCCAATCCATCTCCACTTCCTTCCAGTGCATATTTGTTGAGTGATAGGTTCTTGGTTGGTTCGTCACCAGCCACAGTTCCTTGTTGTTTATTCTTTCTGGCCATCTGATCTTCAGTAACGAGCCAGTGTAGGCAGTTGTTGATAAATGTCTGTAATTTGTTGGAAATCCCTTTCGTAACGCGCCAAGTCTCTGAGCCATAAAGAAGCACTGACTTGACTGGGTTGGTGTTGAAAATCCGGACCTTGTTCACGCTTTACGTTGAGTGCAGATCTTCACACTGGTTTCAGGCTAATGAACGCCTGTCTCTATACTTAAGAATCAGAGTAATTCAACATGTCAGAATCTATCAGCAAACACAGATTGGGAAATGAAGAAAAAAAGACCAAAGTTTACAAAATCTACATAGTTTCCCCAATGTTGTGAGACACAATTCAATGATGGACTTCATACCTTTACAACTTTGGTTTCAATCTTATCTATCAGTTATACTTCATACATTTTCTGTTGATTCACTTCTTTAATATGCTTCTCACGAAAAGACCAAATAAATCACATAAACTGGAAAGATTATTATAGAGCTCTCTGAACCCCAGCTTACAACAATGTGAAACCTTTTATAGCAAAATCACTATGACAATAAACTATAAAGTTTACCGGCTAAAACTCTATTACTCTTGGTCATTATTAAACACCCCATTACTGCAATGGAGAAACTAGATCTTGGGTAGTCACTGGCCCGGATCATCCAATTCCCTATTTCAGTAAGTATTTTCCAGTGTTCTGAGATCTAGTACTCATAAAGCTCATAATAGTATCCACAGAAAAAAATGCATGTTTTATATCTCTATACCCCTCAATAATCCAGTCTCAGATTCACACCCATTGAGTAACAGGAAATGATACTGGTTGGCTGCTCTGATTTTGGTCGGTGAAGTGGTATTCAGAGATGTAACCCACTAGTTGGAATTTATTTGTTTTGATAAATAAGCCACAGCTCCAAACAAACCACCCAGTACATGTTTTTCGGACTAGTTTATAAGCTAAAAATTACTGCATGAGGACTGATGATACTATTCATTTGTTCAGACTGAAGTTGTCGGGAATGGGTTTGAACTTAAGATCCAATAGTTGAAAGTCAAATGCCGAGGTTAATGAGCAATACCTAGATACCTTATAATGAGATAGACTGGACATCAGAGAAGAACCTACTTAATAAGCAACCGAGGATTATTATTTGCAGCAGTTTCTAGCAATATCATATGCAAATTACAGCATATTTTACACACACATCACTATCAGGAATTTGGCGATACATGTAAACCTATAGTTATAGCGGCATTCAATCCCAGTTAGGAAGTCTTGTGCCTGCTTTATCTGGAAAACTATGTCGCACTGCTAGTTGTCACGCAGTAAATTTTCGCTCATACACAAGGCATAAATAGGTAGTACTTGATCAAAATATTGTTAGCAAACTACACTTTTCATGCTACAAGTAAGCATAACTTGAATGGTTATTACTAATAGATGTCCAAATAAATTTTGCTAGTAAAAGAGTTTCAATTTTCCTCAGATCAACGTAAATTCGCACACAACTAGATGCTTTACTATTCTATTATGTACTCAGCTGAAATTGATAATACGAAGAATAATTTTAAAAAACAACCGTTGACCGGCCTATAGCATATTGTAAACAAAACAATGGTCATTAACAGAAGTCAGATGATAAACTACTGAACTAAACTTATCGGTTGCGTAGCACAGATTAGCCACGTATGCAAGATAAATGTGAAATTAACAGACTTGCTTGTCAATATCAACCGTAGTGTGGATAAACTATCAAACGTTTTTGATAACAGCGCTTTTCGCCTGCAGGAAAAAGGAGGTGATAAAAGGCAGATCAAAAGACTGGATGGCATTTTTTCGAACAAAATACCACTGCACACGGGAAATTCCTGGCTGAATAGCTGACACAATCAACGTAAAACCTCGCACATAGATGCCTCGGATTTAGTCGCTAGACTTTACAGTATTACAAAAAGAACAGGTGGATAGAAAAAGAGTGATATCAAAGAAGACAAAGTAGTATGAGAGAAAAAATAGTCTGAAGATAAAGGTTAGTGTGAGTGTTCAAGCTTTAGAAGATTTCAAGGCGTGAAAACTCCAAAAACACTCGGTTCCGAAGACTCTATTATAGGTCTCCGGATAGTGCAGATCACAGATCTAAAAAATAATGCTATGCGGACCCTTGTATGGGCTAAATGAAGTTAGACAATCTAAATGCATGAAAAGCATTAGGATGAATTCTAGTGAGCTGTCAAATTCAGGTTGCATTTTAGATAGGTCATTCTCTGAAGGTGCGGTTCATTGTCGTAAGCACTCACCTTTTCAACCATGGGTTACAAGTTAAAACACCCTACTTCACGTACTTCAGGTTGGGTATACAGGTAGTTTCATAATGCCTTACACACTCTGAGACTCATAGCCCAATACAGAAACACCTGTATGGGGTCAAGGTACGTGAAATAATTTATGCCATTATTTTGTTTTCACTAAGAGTATAAAAAGGCTGCATACAATAGTGTACCAAAAGTAAAACATTAAAAATATGGTCGCCAAAATACCAGATATGCTAACTTTCTTATATGGCCTTTTTATATCCTCATGAAATCGTCACCTACAATATCAAGAGGTATTTGCATCGCTTCATTTGCATGATAACTTGAAGGGATTCTAGATTATGCAGCAATTAATAATATGCTTTACGACACTTTCCATACTATGCAAAAACAAAAAGAGCAAACCAGAAGAATTGGTTCAAATCTTGCCACGACCCACAGTTGTAATTTCATTTAACTTTCATTCATTAATATAAAATTAAAACTTGTGCACTGTGGTAGAATGAAATTCCATTTTAATTGCTTTACCAGATTTATCACACAGTGTAACAGTATTTAATATATAATTGTTTCCATATCATATCGTCGTGGATTGGACCTAATCGACGGGTCTCCATTGGCATATGGGATCCTGTCCGGATGCCTCGATATTACCTGTGCTCTTATGATAGTAATGGTGGATAGCGGCTAGCAGTGGAATCCAGGATGCGCATTAAGTCCTATTTGTGACTCTTCAGCTGGATGTACTTGCTGCTCAGTGAGCGATGTTGTTCCCACCAGGATTCGGACTCGGGAGCGATCGCTTAAAACGCCAGAGCCGCGTCCACTACACCACCCGGTGGGAACAACATCACTCACTGGGGAGCATGTACATCCAGCTGACGAGTCCCAAATAATACAAAATGCGAATCCTGGATTCCACTGCTAACCACTATCCATCATTAGTGTAACAGTAGTGTCTACTGGATTACGTTTCAGACATGATTTATTGTCCATAGTCATGTAAAAATAAATACACAACTTTCAGATATCCTTTATATAGTTCTAATTTCCCCGTCTCCTTGTGAGAGATGGGTAGTAGGGTTTTCCATATATCCGGAACAGGTGCTGAGTCATTCCTGTCGCATGTGTTAGGTGTTGATTCGGTAAACAAAGATTCAGTTATCAATGTCTCCCTCCACCCTGTTATGTTAGTTTTAAGAATTTCCACCCAGTCCCATCCTATTGTGTGGTTGTGTATAATCGCATGCACAGTTATGGCTGAGCTTTTTTCTAAATTCCTCACCTTACTAGGATCTACGAATTTCGACCTAGCTAGGTTTTTGTGTTCCGATGGCCTAATTGACCCTTGTCAACTACTTTGACCTATGTATTTGACCTCGCAATCGTTACAAAGGATTTAGTAAACTAAGTTATTCTGTCTAATTGGGTCAATAGGATCTTTTAACCTACAAAGCTTATTTCGAAGTGAGTTTGTAGGTTTAAATGTCACTCTAATCCCAGCCTTATTGAGAATTCTACGTAGTATTTCTGAGGTGCCTTCTTTGTATGGTAATACAGTGGAGGTTTTGAATCCTCTATTCACAGTATTGCCGCTACTATTAGTAGCATCATTATCAACACCATTATTGTTTCTATTATTACCAGCATTATTACTACTATTAATAACTGTGTTACTGATATTTTCCTTACAATTCCTAAGGAGCTTATCAATTAATTCCGAAGGATTATTGTTGATGATTAAGGCGCCTTTAATGTATCTGGTTCCTTGTTTTAGATCTTCTACTTTACTAGTAAGTTTTTTGGCCCTGTTACTCAGACACTTTACTAAGCCAACTTCAAATAACATAGGGTGAGACGATTTGAAGTCTAAGTAACGGTTTGAATGTGAAGATTTTCTGTAGACATTAGTGTCTAAACTCCCATCTTGTTTCCGTTTTATTCGGCAATCCAATATCGCTAATTCTCCTTCACTATTTTCTAATTCATAGGTGAATTGGATTGCGTTGACTACTGAATTTATATGTGTTTGACTACCGTTGCCTTCGTACTATAGGCCGTATTCCGTGGGCGATGCAGACTAGGTGGTTGGGGTCCGCAGGACAAGAGGAACCAGTGGTTGGAGACTGACTCTAGGTGATATGGCTCAGAACCGATGTCAGTGGCGCAGATGTATACACATATTATCATCATCTTAACGACGTTATACCGAGTCTCACCATTTTGTCATTCCTCTTTCCTTTCTTCTCGTACTCAATATTTCTTTTGAATACATTCTCCTATCTTCATCCTTCACCTCACTACCTTTCTACTTGATGTACTGATATGAGGTGTGGCAACCCGGACCGTTACGCAGTAATGCCTGGTCCTATGTTGATAATGATGTGAAGAAATTATGTGTTCTGATTTCAACATTGTAAACGTGTCGTCTACATAGCGAAACCATACTTTTGGAGCCGAACAACATTTTTCTACAGCCATCCGTTCCTAACTATCCATAAATGTGTCAGCCACAATAGGGGATATTGGTGATCCCATGACAACTTCTGTTTGTTTGTATATTTTATTCTGAAACCTAAATATTGTGGAAGTTAGATATATCTGCACTTCTAGCATGATATCATCTACTGGTACCTTAGTGTAATCTCGCGGTCATTATTGAGCTCGTTTCTAACTGCTTCCAGGGCTATATCAATTGGTATATTGGTATGCAGACTGACTACATCAAAACTAACCATTTTTTCATCGTAATCTAAATGTATGTCATCTAATCTGTGCTTCAAGTCATAAGAGTTAGTAAGTTTTGATTTCGAACGGTTTCTATTTGGGTTTAGTACCATCGCCAAACATTTAGATAAGTCATAAGTAGGAGTGTTTCTAAAGTCTACCGTAGGTCTTATAGGATAACCTGGTTTATGAATTTTAATAGTACCATAAATCCTACTGGGATTGTTAGTTTTTGGCATTAAATTAAACCATTTAGACTCACTTAGAAAAGGCTTCATTCGAACTATTAGATCCACCGTGGTTCTTTTAACTTTATTTATGATAGTGTCGATTGTTTCTTAGTTCCATTTCAGTCTGTTTATTAGAAATATCACACAGTCAAACAGTAGCATTTACTGAATAACGTTTCGGACGCAATTTACTGTCCATATTCATATGAGGTAACTCCACAACTTCGAGACAGACTTTATATATTCCTAGTTTTCTCTCCTTCTCTGTGATGACAAAGGTAGTAGAATTTGCCATATATTTGGGACAGGTGCAGAATCATTTCGATTGCTGCATGTATTTGGTGTTGATTCGATAAAAAGAGGTTCAGTCGGTTATTAATCTCTCCCTCAACCTAACTGTTTCCAATATTGTCGCTCTATCCCACCCTACTGTGTGACTGCGTCATCGCATGCAGGGCTATAGCCGAGCTTTTCTCTAGATTTCTTATCTTGTTATGAACTACCAATTTTGATTTAGCTAGGTTTTTGTGCTCTATTATTCTAATCGACCCTGGTCGACTGCTTTGACCTATATACTTGAGCCCGCAATCATTGCAAGGGATCTGATAAACCAGACTATTTTGCTTTAAAAAATAATCTGGTTTACCAGATCCCTTGCAATGATTGCGAGGTCAAATACATAGGTCAAAGTAGTTGACAAGGGTCAATTAGGCCATCGGAACACAAAAACCTAGCTAGGTCGAAATTCGTAGATCCTAGTAAGGTGAGGAATTTAGAAAAAAGCTCAGCCATAACTGTGCATGCGATTATACACAACCACACAATAGGATGGGACTGGGTGGAAATTCTTAAAACTAACATAACAGGGTGGAGGGAGACATTGATAACTGAATCTTTGTTTACCGAATCAACACCTAACACATGCGACAGGAATGACTCAGCACCTGTTCCGGATATATGGAAAACCCTACTACCCATCTCTCACAAAGAGACGGGGAAATTAGAACTATATAAAGGATATCTGAAAGTTGTGTATTTATTTTTACATGACTATGGACAATAAATCATGTCTGAAACGTAATCCAGTAGACACTACTGTTACACTGTGTGATAAATCTTGTAAATCAATTAAAATGAAACTTACATTCACTCCTCAATATTTGAGGGTTTTACGATTTGTGTTACTGGTTCAGTTTTGAAACAATCGGAATATTTTGAAAATACACGATAAACAATCTTAATTATTTATGAGGGGCAAGATCGGTAGGTGCACTGGATACATATATTTAGGTTGGATGTGTGCAAAAACTAGACTACGATTTTGCCTAGTCTTACAATACACTGAACAATGTTTATTTGAAAATGCAAATCTTAACCGTAGCTGCAGATGAAAATAAATCGAAATCTTTCCAGAAAATAAATTAGTAGAACCGTCATCACATAATGTTCTTATTTTTCGTTATGTTCAACAACATCCAGTAAAATTCATAAGTAATCAGGCTTACAAATGCTGCTAATTAACAAATAAAATGATTCTGCAAACTGCAACTACCATGATTGTGGAAATTTTGCTGATGCAATCCAGTGAAACTTAATAAAAGGCCAAGGTGATCTGCAGAGCAACATTAAACAAGGTAAACAGGTATTAAACGCATGAGAGATTTTTCTCAGTGCCAGGACCCTTAAATCAGAGTAAATAGAAAACAGGGACAAATTTAATTATCATTGTATCGTACCTCCATATAGATCATCGAATGCAACTACATGATCTCCATGTGACAGAACCTGAATAACAGTTGCTAAAGCTGCGAGACCTGAACTGAATACCGAACAACTATCACCGTTCTCTAAAGCTGCTATGCATCTTTCCAGGCATTCTCGAGAAAAATTTCCAGATCTGGAATAATCATACTACAAAGTGCTTTTACTGATTGTTAATTAACTCATTACCTTTGCTACTCCAGGAGAAAGTTGTTGGAAGGTAGTAGATAAAGTTATCGGCGGAACAACAGGGCGGCCCACTTCTTCTAAAGGTATTGGATTATAACCAGCATGAGTGGCGACGGTATCGATGCCTTCAAATGGTCTTAAAGCTTGCTCAATAGAATGAGATACATGCCGGCAAACATCATCATACAGAGCCGAAAATTCATTCATTCTACAAAAAGGGGATGAGAAACAGTTATTTTTTTTATTTTTACATAACATTTGTAACTAATGTGTAAATAAAGTGTTTGAACCAATATTAACTACTTTGCTCGAGTGGGTAGCAAATTATCGTTAGCCTTTGCAAACATAAATCAATACTATTCAGAAAAGGATCTGGAATTACTAAGTGACGGTCTAGATTGATGCATCTCATGTCAGAACATTCAGGTAAAAAGTAAGAGAAAGAAAATAAAGTATTAGGATAAAGTTACAAGAAAAATAATGGGAAAAAGGGGGTAGGGCAAATAAAATACAGGATAACGATTACGTGTGAATTCATTGGTGCTATCGTCATAGATTCTGTGCCTTAATATTTAGTGTTCATAGCCATGTGTTTGAACTTTCTCAATAAACAAAGCCGAAAGGTAGTCAGGGATCAAACCAACAGTCAGTCAGCAGCTAATTGGTTTATACATTTCGGTTGCAAACAACATGCTTGAGGTTCAATTCCTCCTCCACCTAGGTGAACCTGAGTAACGGGAAATACTATAAGCCTTCACATAGCGAGTAAGACTCATATCTTAGTGAATGAACACGTACTAGGATGAGTTGCACCAATTTATGTAAACAGTGGGAGACTTTATGGATGTGGCACATATTGGTTTGATAGCAATTTGCGTCGTTCTTATTGCAGTCATACTTCGGCTAACTCTATGAGTTCAGAAATAAAAACACAAATGAACTATAAAACACATTCAAAGAAGCACTCACTACGTTCATATTATTATTATTAGTCCCTTGGGTTCCCAATAGAACATAGGGCTTCAGTAGCACGTCTCCAGTGAACTCTTTTCCCCGAAATCTTTTGAACCTGGCTCCACGACAGCCCACAACCTCTCATTTCCTCCTCGCACCATCTCCTCCATGTCACCCTCGCCTCGAACACCCAACTCGTCGTTTACCATCGGGGTCCCACTCGAGCAACTGGCCTGACGCGTGATGTCCCCAGTCGGCCTTCTCAGTGCATGCACAATCCATCTCCACTTCCTTCCAGTGCATATTTGTTCAGCGATAGGTTGTTGGTTGCTTCATTGCTAAGCCAGAGTGAGTTCCTTCTTGCTTATTCTTTCTGGCAATCCATATGATCTCCAGTAACGAGCGTAAGCAGTTGTTGATGAATGTCTGTAGTTTGTTGGAAATCCCTTTCGTAACGCGCCAAGTCTCTGAACCATACAGAAGCACTGTCTTGACTGGGTTGGTGTTGAAAATCCGGATCTTGTTCCACATGCTGAGTGCAGTGTAGAAGATCTCCACACTGTTTTCAGGCTAATGAATGCCTGTCTTGCTTTTCCGATTCTGACTTTGACATCCTCGTCTGTGCCACCGCCTGTAGTTGAAACAGTGCTTCCTAGATAGGTGAAGGAGGCTACTTCCTTTAAGTTTCTCCCGTTGATGGTGACTGGAGTTTGTTGTTGTTGTAGTTGTTGGTGCGGTATCTTCATCACTTCTGTCTTCTCTATATTCACCTGAAGTCCCGTCTTCCTTCGCTGCCTCTTCTGACAACTTGTTAGTTTTCGCCTGTAGGTCTTCATCATCATCATCTTATCACATAGGACCAGGCATTACTGCGTAACGGTCCGAGTTGCCACACCTCATATCAGCACATCAAGTAAAAAGGTAGTGAGGTGAAGGATGAAGATAAGTGAATGCAGTCAAAAGAAATATAAAGTACGAGAAGAAAGGAAAGAGGAGTGACAAAATAGTGAGATTCGGTATAGCGTTGTTAAGATGAGGATAATGTGGTATACATCTGCGCCACTGACTCGGTTCTAGCATATCACCTAGGTCTCCAACCACTGGTTCCTCTTGTCCCGTGGACCCCAACCACCTAGTCTGCATCGCCACATGGCTTAAACCAACAGTCAGAGACTTCATACATTGGTGCCATGTTTTAGTCTGGCCACCTCGGCCTTTTTCCAGCCTGACCCACCTCAGCCAACTTGTGTGACGAGGCAATCGGTGACTAGGCATACGTAGTACGTGTCCCAACCATCTCAGTCGATGAAGGTTCACAACCTCGTCGACTGACTTACCTCTTCTCCCTAAAACTCTACACCTAACTTCTGCATTACTCACATGGTGACACCACGGAATACGTCCTATACTACGAAGGCAACGGTGGTCAAATACCTGTAACCTTCTCATGTCTTCCACTTTCAATGGCCATGTTTCACAGCCATACAGTAGAACAGAGCGGACTGCTGTGCAGTACACGCGACCCTTAATAGACAAACGAATATCACGGCGGCGCCATAGGTGGCGCAAATTGGCAAAAGCCAATCGAGCCTTTTGTATCCGTGCGAAATCTCATCGGCAACTAACCCACCAGTTGATCCTACTTCCCAGGTAAGTGAAGTGGTCAACACACTCAACCACTTCACTCTCTATTGTTAACCGCGGTACCGCTGAAGACCAGTCCTGGAGCAAAAATTTGCATTTGGGTGGTGAAAATCGCATCCCAAACATTCTCAAATTCCCACTCAAAGTGTTCAGAAGACTGCATCTTGTCAGCGTCTTCACCTAACAGGACTATGTCACTGCATATTCTAGATCTAAGGAAAATTCACCTGTGTCCGGCAACGTCTTTGTAATTAGTGACGAGAGGGAAACTCCATAAGAATATCTATGATAAAATTAAATAAGAATGGGATAGTGGGCATCCTTGACGACACCACTTGATGAGTATAGCTCCCTGGACAACTCACCATAGGCTCTAACATGCCCACAAGTGTTCGAGTAGAGAGCTTTCAATAAGGTGATGTACTTACTAGGCACGCCTTTCAGTGACAGACACTGCCATAAGACTTCTCGATCAACGGAGTCAAATGCCGCCTTCAGGTCGAGAAATACAGCTATTGTCGGCGTCTGTAAGCATGCCTATGTTCCAGGACCTGGCGCAGTGTGAATATTTGGTCGATACACCACGGCCAGGTCTAAAGCCTGCCTGGTTTTCTCGGGCTTGCTGTTCCCGAGCTCCACTCAGGCGTCGGAGAATTATAGAACTTAGGATCTTAGACACTATGTTTGTCAGGCTGATTCCTCTGTGGTTATCACAAGAGGACTTCTCGCCTTTCTTGAAGACTGGGATGATCAGTGACTTAGACCAGTCGGAGGGGATCGTATTTGATTCCCATATACTGGCTAACACTTCCGTTAGCCTGACTAAGAGAACTCTACCACCATTCTTGTATACCTCAGCAGGTAGTCCGTCTGGTCCTGCTGCCTTCCCGTTTCAGGCTACCTACCGCTTTCTCCTTCTTCTAGTGTTGGGGGACCTGTCTCTATGTCCATTCAGGGTCCGACTGGATAGCGGGCAGCGCAATGGTGGCTGGAGGCCAGTTAAACTGTTCCTCAAAGTGTTCTGCCCATCGTCCCAGTCGCCTTCCCTGCGAGTGAATCGCCGATCCGTCCTTCTCCGCTATAACCTCACTAACTGTTGTTGACCATTTCCCCCAGTCTCCTTAATAAGTCTAAATAACTGTCTACTGTTACCGATCGCCGCTGCCTTTTCCATCTCTTTAGCCTTTGCTGCCCACCACTGTTCACGATCGTTGCGCAGACTTTTCGTCAGTTTATTTTTAAGTTGCGCTCGCTCTTCATTGTACTCAGAGCCTGCAGGGATGCATTCACGTGCATCCATTAGTTTGGAAGAAGCTGCTGATATCCACTGGCTCTTTTTAGCCATTATCTTGGAGTCGGCTACAGTCTCCAGTGCTGCTTTTACAGTAGACTGAAGATGGCACCAAGCTTCTTCTGGATGTGTTCCGATAACTGCCTAGCCAACTTCTCACTGAACACGGCTTTGGTGTTTTCGTTGTCCAGCACTCGTAGTGGTTTTGTTGCCAAATTTTTTCTACGTCCATTGAGACGCAGGCATATACGTGCTCGGACCAACGCATGATCGCTGTCCAAACACGTACTCCAGAAGGAGCGGCAGTCTTCCACCGATCCTCTCCAGCGATGACTAATAGCAATGTGGTCTATCTGTGTCCATCGCTGAGTCGAGCTCGGTGGACGCCAGGTCAGACAGTGCCTTTCTTTATGTCTGAAATTTGTGCTGGCTAAAAATAGGCGGTTATCTGAGCATAGTTGTAATAGGCGATCACCGTTATCTGTACGTTCAGCTGGGATTCCGAAAGTGCCACCTAAGTGCCTTTCTGCCTCACTCAGTCTACCCACCTGTGCGTTGAGGTCACCTGCAACAACCACTACGTCCGAACGTTTGGCTTTCGAGAGGAGGTTAGACGTTATGGTAGGTCTTCAAGTTTGTGTGACATCAGGCACAAGTCATCATCGGCGAAATCCAGATCTTCTAGGTTCTTTTCCGCAATCCAGACAGCGTATCCCCCTCTTCTTTCTTCTCACTATTTGTTGCATGATCCAGTCGACCACAATCAGGAATATCATGGGGGATAGTAGACAACCTTGTTTCACTCCTGTCTTCACTTCAAAAACATCACTGAGCTTCCCATTGTGAATTACTTGGCTGGCATGTGGCGTCTTCATATAGTTGTTGAGTGAGGCTGATAAAGGTTTGCGGTACTCCGTAGTAATGAAGCAGTTTCCAAATTACCTCTCGGTCGACGCTGTTGAAGGCCTTCTCAAAGTCGATGAAGTTGAAGTAGAGTTGACTGCCATTCTATACCCTGTTCTATGATGATGCGTAGTGTGGCCTTGCAATTTGGTCCACATGATTTGTACTTCGTGAATCCAGCCAGCCAGCCTGTTCCGGTCGTAGTTTTGAATCCAGTGCATCCTTTAGTCTCTCCAGCATCATGCGGCTTAATATTGTGCTCGCTTTGGGTGGACAGGAGTGGAGCGTGATCCCGCGCCAGTTCTTGCAGACACTGAGGTCTCCCTTTGGGAGTTTGACAAGGTAACCCTTCTTCCAATCAATGGTCAGGTACCTTCTCTTCCTTCCACACCTTCTGCAATAGTGGTGTGAGCATGTCCATTGTTGTCTCTGAGTCTGTTTTCAGTGCTTCTGGAGGAATTCCATCTGGTCCTGACTGACTGGCGTGAAGATTTCCTTTGTAGTTTCGTCCTTCAGTTTCTGAGTGTTGTACTTGAACTGTGGTCTATCACCAGCTTCCTTGGAGGCTTTCAACTTGATTTGGAAGGTAGGTTGCTTGCACTAGATAGTGAGTGGTGTGAACCTACATCTGCTCCTCTTCTTGACATTGTGTCAAGTAGACCGCGTCTCCATCTCCACTTTCTTGAGATTGAGATAAAGTCGATCTGATTTTTAGTGTGTCCTGGTGTCTGATGAAATCTATGTCGCTCGCTTTGTGGATATCCTTGTGCTTGAACACAGTGCATCGCCTCCAATCACCAAATCATTGAATGCACAGGATTCTGCAAACAATTCTCCATTCTCGTTCATCACCTCACCGAGCACTTCTCGACCCATGGTTAGTTCTCGTCCTGTGTTGTCCCCTCCCAGTTTGGCATTCATGTCGCCCCACGCATTAGAATTTTGATATCGCCAATTGGAGTGGAGTCTTGTCCAGTGTTGATTGCAGTTGTCTGTAGAAT